TCAGGATGACCATATGTATCTGAAAGGTAAAGAATGTAGGTAGGGTAGAGCAGGTAGAGGAAATAATGACCAAGCTACAGAGAGAAGGTAGCTAGAATCACAAAAGCTAATATTGCAAGGATTCCTGGAAAACTGTCAAAACTAAATTTGAGGCAGCATAAAAACAAGCTTAGGTTTTGCTTATTACAGTATAAATATTTAAAAGTTAATTTGCAACCATTTCAGATCTTCATTGCTCAAGATCTGGTCCCTGATTGGGTACCTTGACCCTGAGATGTTGAATAGAGGCAATTACGAAGATTGTGAAAGATCAAATGAGGGACACCTAACTTCCCTGACTCCTACAAACCACTCCCAAATTGATCCACTGTCCCCTTACCCTATTGCCTGACCTCAAACACAGATGGGGCCAGATTGTTCGGGGTCAGCCAGCATAAATATAGAATGATACAAACAATATCCATGATGATATCAGAAGTTGTCACAAGAATACAGGCAAAAACCTAGTGAGTACCTATGAGTACCTGGAAATATTGAGTCCCCAGGAATAGATAAGTCAGATAGGGAAAGAGGCCTGACCAGGGACACCACCTATAACTCTTCTATTAAAGTTTAAAGAATAGAGACTCACAACCTCCTCTTCTGGTTGTTCTCAGGACTTAGTGATGGCTAGAGGGAGCTGTTTGAAGATCCTTAGTGATTAATGTCTTTTTCCCCTTCCAAGGCTCCTCATGTTATCAGTTCATTTTCCCCTTCCCTGTACTGGTGTGAAACATTGCATATGTATTCAAACCTAGTTGGAAATTTCTTTTGGTTTTTTTAGTGTTACGAGGAATGGCTTGCTAGATTGGGGAATAAGAATGGGGTATAATATTCAGGAGCTACACTGATAAAATTTTAAAATTTGAGATTAATCTATATTACAAAAGGCATTCTTGACGAAGGCATGAAAAAGAAACAGGAAGATTTTCATACAAACTACTGACAGATTTTCCTTAGGTCACACAGTTGACTGAAAGGTAAAGATTTTAAGATCCCACTGTTCCTGTTTGTTGATTTTAACATATAGCAAAACACTAACAACTCTATCCTCCAAGTTGTCTTTCATCCTCATCTTAAAATCATACAAGAGTCCTTAATAAAAGATCTAATCCAACCCCTTCATTTTAGAAATGAGAAAACTGAAGTTTTGGAAGGTTAGCTAATTTGCCCAACATCACACAATTAGTAAGCATCAAAGGTGAAATCTGAACCCAAGTCCTCAGACTCCAAAATTAATGCTTTTTCCACTGTACCTTGCTGTCTGTCTAGTGTAGAATCCAAATGGAACAGGGATGTCTTATAGGTACTTCAGATGTTCCTGTTTACAGATGACATTGTACTGATCACATCAAATCCTGGAACACTGCAGTCTCCTAAATAAGATACATTATCACTCAACATTGGTTTAACTAACTGCACAGGGAAAATCTAGATGACAAATGTCTTTTTATCTAGATTATTTTATACAGTTGGACAGAAAGCCCATTAAGCTGGTCTATCAGTATATATATAGTAGACAGACACTGCAGATGGCTAGAATTGGAGTAATAAATAGTCTTGAATTGTAGTTAGACAAAAAAGTTCTTTTTTTTTTCTTACTCCAAGTAAGGGACACCTAACTTCCTGACTGCTCCAAACCTGCCTCTCAGAAACAACTATTTAAACACTGGTCATTTTTGAAGAATTAAAGTTGCAAGTTACTCAAAGGGTAATGTAGAGATTTGTGGTGGCCTGTAGTAGCATATTACCAATAAAGAATTATGTACTTGAATTGGCATTTAAAGATATCAAAAAAAAGAGGTAATGGACCAGAAAATAAGGCAGACTGCTAATGTAATGAGTACATGGTGTAACAGCTAGACAAGTTTGTTTCCTTCACTGATACACAGGTCACCAGATAAAGAGAGCAAGGGTTCTTAAAGTGGAGTTCATGGGCTGCCAAAAGATGTGTGAAAAGATGTGGCAGGGATGTCTGTGAATTTGGATGGGAAAAAAGATTTCAATATTGTTAGTTTCCTATATTATCTTATATTTTACCTTATACATTAAAAACATTATTCTGAAAAGGAGTTTAGAGGCTTCACCAAACAACCCACAGGGTCTAGGGCACAAAAAACCATAAAAACCCCTAAAAATAGTACCTAGCAAACTGGGTGAATCTCCTATGAGGAATTTTAGGGGAATGTATGAAAGAGTTACAATTTGCACAGTTAGAAGGAAGTACCTGTTTCAAAGTCCTATCACTTATTTACAAAACTCTATTTCTCTACCTCTTGAAAATGGAAGAATGCTTAAAGTAGAACTTGCTATCTCCCTCAAACAAATCCCCGAGTTTCTGAACTCAATTTATGATTCAGTAGAATGTGGAACCATTTTGTATTTTTTAGACTCTGTAATTTGATTATGTTTACTACTAGAACTGGGATGGGAAAAAAATATGAGGAGGGTTCACATTTATTTCTTTATGCCAGAAATAGCAGTTAAAGACTTTAGGTCTTTCAAGTATAGGAGTTATTCTGACATTTAGGTGAAAAAAGGACTATGATCAGAGTATCAACAAATAAACGTTGTTAATACTAGTCATCAATCAACATAGTAATATCAACATAACCTGAGAAGTGAAAAAAATAAGATAGCAAAATGAGTAAAATGTTAAACACCCTTTAAAAGCAGCCATTTTGTTTCAAATTTTGTTTTATTCAAACAGGAGCCGTCTTTACAACACAATAAAGTGCAAAATTATTTCAGAAAAATACCTTCTCCCTGAGGTAGTATGGTTTCTGGATTGGGTGGTAACAGACCTAAGGATCAAGTCTTGATTCTCAGCTTTGCTATAAGCTGCACAGTGTGTCCTTAGGGCAGTAACTTAGGCTTGTGCATGCCGCTGTTTCTCCATCTATTAAAGAGGAATAATGTCTTTCTGACAGGGTTGATGATTAATTAGTTTTACACAAAGTTGAGCACTGGAATTCCTTAATCACAGAAGCTATGAAAAAAATTTTAAAATTATTACTCTAAAATAAAGTTAATGAAGGCACTGAAAATTAATATCACACACACAAATATATTTTCTTGGGTAGAAAATGATGTATAATATTTCATACACTACTGGTACCTAATGAGAGAACTTTATACATACTTTGCAAGGTATTTAGATACCCACTATAAGCCACAACCAACTAGGAAAAGGAAACCTGTCCTGATGGTCCTGAAGGTTACCCTGTTATTGCATTTAACATGCCAAACATCTTTTCACATATGGAAACACTATCAAGTTCAAAGACAGATACCCCTAGAGATGCAACACCAAAATCTTAATCTTTTTCATCATTTTTTGTGTATTCTTTAAGTGGCTTTTTCAATTTGAAATTTCAACCTTTAAAAAATAAGGGTGGGGAGGGTGTGGTGAAGAGACTCTGCCAACTTTCCTTTATAGAAGTCATGGTATGCCATTTGTTAAAATCAAAGCAAAGATCAGTCTTCACTTGGCAAAAGTGAATTCCTTGAAGGACTCCAAACCCTTCCTAATGTGCTTCATAATTACAAGCATTATAGAAACCTAAAAAAAAAAAATTACATCTTATTGGTGTGGCATGCTAAAATATTTGGCTATATAGTTAAGTAAAATAAAACCATTTATTATAGCAGTTCCGTGTCTTCTCTTCACTTTACCTCGAAGAAAACTTCACCAAATGAAAGCACATTTAATTTCTCAAATACAGTTTTAACTTGCTATAGGAAAAAAGGGTTATCACTGTATTCCCACAGGAATTCATCAAACAAAAAAGGATAAAGGGAATCTCAATCATTCTTACATTAAGTATATCTCATCTAAGATAACAAGGAGACCTTTGAAAAGGTCAAAAGAGCTATAATCTTTCTAAAGCTAGTAAACAAAAAAAAGATACACCAACATAGTCAAAGATGGCAAACTAATACAAATAGTCAACATTTCAGGTTGTCTTTACATAATATAGACTGAACTTTGAGATTTTTTAAAGTTCTACCAAATAGGGTCAATACATGTTGGGCATGGCAGTAATAATACTAACCTCAACATCTACACCTGTGAAGTTCTCTTTTGTATTCTCAACTGCTGCCCCAAACCTCTAGAGTCTCTGATTCAAAGCAATTAGTCTATTGTATTCAGTATCACCCATGGCACCAAGCAGGAAAAGTGAGAGACAGGCTTGTTATCTGGATGGCAGCTGTATCCCAAGCATCTAACACTAACAGTAGGAAGGATGGAAGTATGACAAGAAAAGGAAAGGGAAGGTACAGTAAGTACAGGTCAAAATGTTAAGTTTTACAGGGAGAGAATAGAGATTGACTTTATGCATACACATACCTTAAATGACACTTTTTTTCAATGTCTTTTTAATAGCAGTGGTTATAGGGTAGGTTTGAATTTTTAACATTTACTTAGGATTATACTAGCTTCATTTATTTGAAAACGTATTAGCCCAACTCAACATTTGCAGGACTGAACGATGCATTCAATGCATGTTATAAAGGGGCAAATGAAAGGAGTTAAATTCTCTCACTCTCCCTTATCTGTATGGGCAGCTGCCCTAAACATGGCTAAAAGATCTTAGTATCTGATTCACTAGTTTGAAAAGCCACTGCTTTTCAACTGTATCCTTGCTGGAACTTTACAAGGGAGATGTTTTTTTCAATACTCCCTATCCCCCAATCACTTGGATAGCAAAATGGTTTTTTCACTTAATTATGTAATTTTACCAAAAGAATGAAAACATGTAAAAAGATGCTACTTCAAATTCTAGAGCCAATTCTTAGATGAAACTGAACAGTAGTTAACACAGAGATATAACCCAGTGCTAGATTAACACTATCAGTAAGAGAACTTAAGATTTCTAACATCGTGGTGGGGTTAGGAAAATGCTATTTTAAATATATTTGAATATACAAGTAAAAAAAAGTCTTCAAATACAAAAAAATAGGTTTAAAGAAGTTTAGATTTATAATTTTTAAATACATATGTAAATGAGAACTGCCAGGACATGTATCAAAAAACCAAGTAATTATGCAAGTGTGAAGTGAATGCCACATTTTTTTTTCCTATCTTTAAAAGTGGATCAAATATTGGAGCTACTGTATGGTAGCCTCTTTGCCAAAGTATTAATCTTATTAATTACAAATTCCCCCAAATGTATGGCTCTTTAAACATGTTAAATTTACCATCATAAGTCATTGGATACCATCAACACAAATAACTGATCTTAAAAGATTTTAGCTACAACGGGGCTGTATTACAATCAGACCCCCAAATACCAAACAGCAATCAGTTCTCAAGACACTGACCAACTAGATGGTAATGAAATCAGCCAAGGTTCTCAAAAGAAAAGCTATTAAATTTAGAATGAAAAGCCATATAACTCAAGTGGATTGATTACTACCACAAACACTTCCATATTACTTATACCCACACAGATGGCGTAAGTTTTTTGCTCTAGCAACATGCTGTTAAGTTACTCATTTGGTTATCAAGGATGACAACATCAAAGGTACTTAATACTATCCAAGATTAATAATTACTAGCATTTAACACTAAAAATACCCATTCTGAATAGAGGTAGAACTTGCAGCTTGTTCTACTTCACTATACAATCCCCTTTAGTATTTGTCAAATTTTTCTTGCAATCAAGGGAGAAAAACTTGGGGGGGGGGATACACACTCAGAAAGTATTTAAATTCTACATACTAAAATGACACTCCATAAAGATAACTGAGCTTCGACCCAATTTCTAAAAGAATTCATTAAACTTAGTTTTCTAAGGAATAAGGTGCCTGAAAAAGGTGGCTTCATATATATGACTATACCTGAGACAAAGATAAATGTGGCCAGATAATTTGTCTTGGTCTCTTTTACAAAACCCAAGTAAATGGCCATAATTTTCCATTATGAATCTGAAAGCTTATTTTGTTTAACTATAGGAAGTTATCAACACATGCCCAATGAGAACCCAATTACTAGAGTTGAGACCCAGATTCACTGCTTTCTAAAGAAGAGATACACTTAGCTTCCTGTTTGTCTGAAACTTTTTGAAGAAGTTGTGGTCTTCAATGGAATCTCCAGTTCTGGGGCTTTGCCTGGAGTTGAACTGGTTGATATTGAGCCATTGGGGCCTACAGTTGTATTCAAGCTACTAGTGGTTTCTCCAGGGCCTTGTATTTTAAAATAGACCACATAAAACACTGGTAAAATAATTCCAATTAGAAGCATGATTAAAACAGCATTCCACCACTGAATTCCACAGTCTGCACCATTCATTAGAGTCTTCTGACTAATTGGAAGCAAGGGCTGTTTTGAGGTTTCTATGCAATAATCTTGATTTAAATAGATTTCAGATTGTACTGCACTCTCAATATCTTGATCAATCCCCTTAAAAAAATCTGTCAGTTGGCTGGATTTTGCACAATTACTCTCTTCAGCTTCATTATCTGAGTCTGGAAACTCAACAAACATCAATCTGGACTCAGAAGACGTAGTTTGGAGGGGTTTTAATTCCTTGTTTGTCTCTGTTAAGATGCCATAATTCTTCACTGGAATCTTTATAGATTTTAAAGCATATAAGTCTTGTTCTCTGATAAAGTTGTTTACTTTCTTGATGTCTGCAACCTATGGACAAAGAAAAACAATCCATATTAAAATGAGTACATTAAAATTTCCTTCAAAAGTTACACAAATACCTAAAATGCTATAAGACAAGACACGTGCTCTTTTTAATTGAATAAACCTTTGCTTTAAAGGACATTTTACTTAGTTCTAAGATAATATACATTATCAAATGAGTTAACAAAGTAAGCACTATGAAAATATTAGCTATTATTAGCTAGAAGTCTGAATAAGATGAAATTGTGAAAACAAAAAACATTTGGCTATTTAATGTCCAGTAAAATAAAACAGAAAATAAAATCCCTAAATTTAAAATGAAAAGTTTTCCATGTGTACTTTTCTTTATCTTTAGCTGCAACAGTGCCCCCTTCTGGCATATTAAGTTCATGGTAAATGGGCCCCAAGGATGTCACTAACATAATTTATTGACCTAACAAATTTTCATTAGCAAAAAAACAAAAGGAATGACCTGAGTATTGTACTGAAAGTATTATCTTCATTTAGAGTTTCATTTTGCCCTAAACACACACAAAAATCAATGATTATCAAATTTGTTGATGGTAACGCCACATTTTTGTTTAATTTCACCCTATTTGCCTATACCCTTCCCCCAAACATGCTATGGAGGATATGTAGGTTTTAAATGTAAAAAGAACTAAAAAATTCATGTGTTTTGGGAATTCTGAACTATTGAGATAAATGGAGGCATGGGACATCATAAAACCAACCAAAAAAAAGGGACTGTCAGGATAATTTTATTATGTAGTCCAAAATGTGCTGCTAATTAACCAGTAAAAACTTTCATCTCATTACTAAACAAACTTACTTCAACTTAAGATTTAAGATATAGAAGTTTCTGACTCTAGACATATTCCTCCAAGCTAATTCCTGTTATAAATTTTACCCAAATGATCAGCATGTTCATTCAAATTAAGAAAACTAATATACATTTCCTTCTATATTTTGGGGAAAAAAAAGACTATCTAGAACAACCATATTATACAATCCATTTAAATTAAATTTTAAAGTAAAGCAATAGATGTTTGAATTGGGGTCTTATTTAACTGAGCTGCCCTACAGTTGTTTCCATACTACTTGGTCATTTAACTTAATTGGCTGGGGGGTGGGGGAGGAGTAAAAGGAACTCAATATAACTCTTAATCATAAATACTAATTTATGTGTTAAATAAGATGTTTGAGATTACTTTGTCAACAAAATTTTCCTTCTAATAACCAGTAGCAATTTTGCTATTCCTATTTAGGAAATGTGACCATCTTATTTAGGCACAATCTAATTTAGTTGGGCATCATTTTTTTTTTTTTTTGACAAAGCTATTTTAAGTGGTAGTATAGTATAGTATAGTATAGTATGGTATGGTATGGTATGGTATAGTATAATCAAAGGAGCATTGGAATGAGAGTCAAAAGACCTGAACTGTGTAATACTGGCTCTTCCATTCATTTACTAGCTATGTAAGCCCTTACTCAAGTCATTTAGTAAAAAATCTCAGGTTCCTTGTATAAAAAAATAGATATTTGATCTCCTACCTCACAAGGTTGTAGTGAGGATGTGATGAGAACATATGTGAAAGCACTACTATGTAAACTGTAGAGTTTATCTAAATGTAAGAGAATACATTTTATAGCTTTGGTATTACAGTATATAGAAAGTGATTACTCTCAGTCACTTTCTTTCCCATGAAGAAAAAAAAGGCGTATACACATAGTAATTACGAATTGAAAAACATGCTATGTATGTCAGAAAGGGGTCTTAAAAGTTATCTAGGGGCAGCTAGGTAGTGTAGTGGATAGAGCACCAGCCCGAAGTCAGGAGGACCTAAGTTCAAATCCGGCCTCAGACCAAACACCTGACACTAGCTGTGTGACCCTGGGCAATTCACTTAACCCCAATCGCCTAAAAACAAAAACAAAACAAACAAACAAACAAAAAAAGTTATCTAGACTGAGTGTTCTTAACCTGAGGTCCATGAGCTTTAGAATTTTTTTTATAATTGTATTCCATATAATTTCCTTGATAATCTTCTATCTTGTTATATGCATTTAAAAATAGCATTCTGAAGTCCATAAGCTTCACCAGACTGCCAAAGGAGTCCATGACACAAAAAAGGCTAAGAACCCTAATCTAGACCAATCCTTTCATCTTATAGATAATAGCCTATATAGCAAACTAAAATCAAAATTCCAGAAAGAATTAAAATCTTAGTATTTGTGTACCTTTTACAAAGCAATAACCTACCTCACCACTGTCTTATTTATTCAGAGAAACATAAAACTGCCATATACTGAAAGAGGTATGGAGGGAAAAGCACTGGATATAGAGTATACCTGCATTCAAATCCTACCTTTGACCTTACTATCTGTGTGATCTGGAGAAACTCATTTAACCTCCTTGGACTGAAGTCACCTGTAAAATAGAGGGGTTGGACTAGATGACCTTTGAGGTATCTTGCAGTCCTACATCTATGATCCTATTTTCCTCAGGTATTTTGCATCATAGAACACACTCCTCATGTGTAAAAAAAAAAAACTTCATGTAATTAGCTTATGTGTATACTGAATGCCACACAACCAAGTCTGACAAAATTTGAAGCATAATGCTAACAAAGTTAAACTAATAAGTAGCTTTGATCCGTGGAGAACATGCAAGGAATTCTATGAATGCTTTCCTACTTACTTCCCCAACGTTAATCGTTCTGTATGCTATAAAAAAATACAATTAAAAAGAAAAACAGTATTACAAAGATGCCACAGCATAACAAAACAGCAGTTAAAATAGACAGAAGCTATAATTCTACCTGTTTAGAACTACTACAAACCAACAATAGAAGTTGAGAAAGTAACAGCAAGCACATGAAGTATATAATCAAATCCAGGAAAAAGATTTCCCTCCCTAGCCCCATCACATTAAATAGTATTTGCCTAAAGAAATGTCATAATTGCTGTTTCAGAATAGGGGAAATGCAGAAGCAGTTCCTAGAAAAAAAAAAAAAGTCACTTAACATGATCCTTGATTAAAACCCCTTATCCCTCCCTCCCATCCCCAAACAGATATAACTAGAGGTTATAATCTATGATTAAGGCTAGTAGCAGAGTTCTTCATGCTCCTGGATCTCTTTCTTCAAATGACAAAACGTAGTAAAACAAGTGTCCCAGAATCTTCAGTAAGCTTTATTAAATTTAACTGAAACAACTGACAAAATAGGGAAGCCAACTCATCTCGGTGACCAAAGTAGAATGGGTTCTTACTTTACAACCATACTGAAGAGCAAGTTTGTTCAGGTTATCATCTTCTGTGAGTTCTCGTTCTAGTAATACCACATCCCCTACTCTCTCTCTTCCAGCATTCTTTTGTTGTTCCTTTCCCCTTGGTCTCAATTCCACATTTAGCTCTTCTTCAGACAGTTCATCTGAATCTGAATTGTCATTTTTAAACACATAAATGTGACTATTTGAAGAACTACAAACAACACCAGGGGCTTGGAAGGTTTTGGTTAATACTTCTTTCTGTCTCATCTTTAGCACCTGAAAACAAAATTGAAAGAGTTGAATAGTTGCATTTATTGGTCACTATATACTATAATTATCTCCTTTTAAGACTGGGTAAAGAGAATGATTAAGAAATGAAGGAATATTTGATCACTATACTGTGAGGCAGGTACTCTCTAGAACCTCTTAAGATGAAATAAACTAGCCATCTGTCACATGAGGTGAGGGTTATTATAATGAAAAATTATTGGCCCAGAGTTCCTTTTTAAAGAACTACATTCCCATTTAATAATTTTACTGCATTAGACAATATCTTTTACTAGTAAAGATGTTTACTAACTGACAAACAGTAAGAAAACATAATGTTGCTGTTTGGGTAAGGCTGGAATTTAATAAACTGTATGGCAATTTGTTAGAAATTCACAACTATTTCTTTCCAGTTTCTGTACATTTCATTAAACCATAATCTGTTTCACAGTGTTTCCCCCTTTTAGCCAAAACAAAAAAATAATACTCTATCATTTTCAAACACTATTCTAGGATTAAGATTCCTACATAGAAACTGTTATTAGAAACTGAGATTTACGCCCTCCAAAACTAATTTTTAAATATCTGCAATGATGAGGTACTAAAATGATGCCTTCAGAATTAAACAAAGACAGGCTGTTTTTAAGATGCTATCACCTAAGAAATGGATGGCTTGGGACCCCCACCAAGGGAGGATGGCCAGGTAAGAGCACATATGCAATGAAGGACTGAAGTGGAACTATGAGACAAGAATAAGACTGCCTGATGCTGCTGAGATTTTCCTAGAATGGCTGACCTTGATGTGCAAGTAGTACATATCTAGCTCACCTTATTTGTTGCTGCTACTGCTAAAGTTTCAGCTATAGTGCTGAATATGTTCTTAGTTATACTATGGTCTTAAGGGAATTTAATTTTTTAAAAACCAAATAACTTTTTCAATACCGAATTAGGCAATTAGGTAATCTGGGAAAGGGGAGGATATATATCCTCCATACCATAATTATGACAATCCCAGTTTTAACTATAATAAAACCTAGCCTTCTTATACACAGGTAACTTCAATGCAAGTCTTAATTTTGTTATTGCTTTGCTGCAATACTGGCAAGTGGGGTGAGGTCAATTATTATATTCTGACTCACATGTTCTTTGTGACTCATATTACAACATATCACCTATTGGATTTTAGTCTTCAGCCTCACGCAATCAAACTACCCGAGAGAGTGAGGCAAAAGGGCATGATAACTTTAATCCAGACTGAATGCATTAAAGTTTCCAGCTCCTGAAAACAGACCATTTGTTTGAGGAGCCTACCAAAGTGAGAGGCGAGTCATAAAAAGCCAATTAACTCGAACTAAGAACAGAATACCAAATGGAGAGTCATTTGCTTTTCACTTTTTTTTTTTTCAAACTCTACTCCTGTTTGGCAGCCTTGGCCTACTTCCGGTCTCCCAATGGTGAAGGGGCAGCATCTTGTAGTAGACTGGAAGGCAGGAGGACTTGGGTTCTAGGTCTGGCTCCGACCTCGAACCAGGGGACTTAAGCTCACCAAGTCCTGGCCAGATGCTAAATCAGCACCTGATTCCGATGGCCTGGGCCAGAGTTCACTGCTGAATGGCACCAAACGCCATTAACTTCAGGGCATCCGGGCCACCTTTCCCTTAGGTCTCTTGGCAGGATTATCGGCCTTGCTGTGCCCGGGCCCTGTAACCTGGGGTCCTCCAAAGGGACCCTTGAGAGGCAGGATCCGCATTTACTCCGAAATATGCCTGAATAGCCTCGGTGGAAATTTAACGGAGGAAAAAGAGCCCTGGCTCACTTTGGGGGATGCCATGTCGCGTTTTCACGCATCTTCACTTTCTTTATTAGTTATTAGAGCTCTAGCCAAGGCGCTCCAGAGCCGGCAGGCGCCCGCTGCCCGCGCCCGGGCCCGGGCTCGGGGTCCCCTGCGGGCCCGCGCCCCGCATTCGCGTCCCCGACCCGGGTTTCGCCAACGGTGCCCGTTGCCCCCGCCCCCCGCCTCCCCTCCCAGGGCAGACACCCAGGGTCTCCTAGGAGACCCGGCGGGGCGGAAGGGGCCGACCTCGGCCGCACGCACCCCCCCCTCCTCCGCAGACGCAGTCCGGGCCCGGAGAGGCCCCGGGAGGAGCAGCCCCTCCGGCCCGAGTCGAGGGAGCGGTTCCGGAGGGGATGGAGGGGGGCGACTCCCCACATAACTCACCCTTTCAACGCCCCACTACCGAGGCAAGTCCCGCGGAGGCCTCTCAACCAACCACGCTGGCGCCGCCGCGCCTTCCCATTGGCTCAGCCGGTCAGCAGGTCCCGGGGAGGAAAAGGAAGGAGCCAATCATGGAGCGGAGGGTGGGAGGGCGCTTGGGTCGGCCGGGGATAGGGTGAGAGGTCAGCGCTGGACCCGACGCTCCGGGGCGGCTGCTCCTGGCGGAGCCCCTGGAGCGGATGGGGTGTGGGGTGGGGAAGAGCGAAGGAGCCTCCTCCACCTTTGTTCTCCTCCTCTCCTGAGTTGGCCGCTGGGAGAACTTGAGGTGGTGGTGGCTGTTGCTGCTTCGCTGCCTACTTACTCCCTGGCCATCCCTTCGACAACTACCCGTCTCTTTCCCCCTCCAAGTCTGGGACTCTGAGCCTTGATCAGATGGGCTGTTCTTGGTGAAATTGTGCTAATCTTCTCTGTGCTTCTCCCTGGCTGCCACTGCCCTTTGGGTGTTGTCTCTCCCATTACAGACGGGGACTATCCTCACTTTTGTAGGTGTCAACCCCTGTGCTTAGTAAAGACTTAACCAATGCTTATTGTTCATTCATTTCTTCTTTCATCGTTCTGATTCCGTGAACCCTCCCTGATAACAAAGTAAACCAGTTTAGAAAAACCAACCTGCAAAGCAACCCCAGCTGACAATAAATGCAACATTCCACCCCTGTAGTATCCCAGTTCTCTCAGGAGGGGACACATCCTCCGTTCTTGGGGGGAAAAATCAAGATCCTTCTTGGCAACTAATCTGTTTAGCTGCCTTTTACTATTGGCTTTATTAGCATTATTGTAAGTCGTCATGGATGTTCTCTTGGTTGTGCAGTCTTGTCCTTCCTACAAGTTTTCCCATGCTTCTCTAAATTCGTCATATTTGTTGTTTCTTGTGGCTCGATACTATTCCATAAGGCACGATTTATTTTCTGTTCACCAAGTGTGGTCCTGGTAGAGGAGGTTCCCATATCAAAACTCTTTTTATAATAATACTAAGATGTTTTAATTTACAATAGGTAAATATCAATAGATGTAACCCTACATAAGCAAAAGTTCTTTGGGACAGTCCTCAATTTTTAAGTGTATGAAGGGATCCTGAGAACAGAAAGTTTGAGAACCACTGTTCCAGTACGATGGGACACTTTGTTTCCAGTTTTTTTTAATTTTTTTTTTATTTTTACTCTCCTTAAGGTCATTCATATTCTTCCCTTCTTCCAAATAATTATTTGTAGGGGAAGAATTACTGCTCCAGGAATTTATTTAGATTGAGGCTGAGAGAGTTGGGGGAAACCAACTCTTTCTATAATGTATTCTTTGACTCACCCTTCTTCAGCAGTAAAATACTTAAACAAAAGTACCCTTATTGGTGTGATGAGCGCTTCTTCCCAACCTGCACATCTAATCACTCCACAATGTAGTTTCATCACCTGGTGGCCAAATTTCTAGTGATGCTTCTCTCTCCGAACTTAGCTAGTTTGGTCCTTGGAAGACAGATCCTGGATCCTACTAGAAGCCTTTCCAGCTGAGTAGGACCTGTCAGAACTTGTCACTGGTCTAACCTCCCATTCCAAGGCTTCATACCATGAAGCATTTGAATAGGACTGGTGGAGGGTGGCTCATCCTAGAGTAAGAAAAACAAATTCTGTGGAGGAACTATGACCCCTCAGTTTAGCCTAGTACCTACTTAGTAATGCAGTAGATTCTGTAAGAGATGTAAAATAAATGTAAATAAGACACACACTCTTCTTTCAGGGATCTTTCTATCTGGTTTGGAAGCTGACTGAATCTTGAATCCCTTCTGTAACATCACCTATAAGTGTGACCACCTATAGTGTTGGTGCTACATACTGGATAGTGAACGGTCCTTAAAGCCAAGAAGACCTGAGTTCAAGTCTTGTCTCTGAATGAATGAATGAACGAATGAATGTAGTTACTTTCTCTGAGCATTTCAACTCATTTACGGACTTACCTAATAAATCTTGTTAAATATTCAACTATCTTTGCTCTTCATGTAGAGATGTGCCCTAATATCTAGTAGTACTTCTGGATAGGAAAGGAAGATCATAGCCTAGACCTTTAAGAGGTAACCTCAAGAATGTTATTGTCTTCTGGCAGGAAATCATTCCAGAAAATGGATCCCTTTTTCCATTGACCCAAAGAAGCCTTAATTTCCTGTGATTCCTTTAGCTGTGGTTAGACTTCAAGCTTAAGTGAATGGGCTGAGCTGACTCCACCCTGCCCCCCACCCCCTACCCCAGGGCCTTGGATTCCCCCTTTCCCAGTCTTAAAGATTTATAGTTGTGGTAATAGCCTCTGAGCTCACACTCTTAAATTCTGCCCGAACCTCTTACCTCTGCAAGTATGGGTTAGGTTTCCAGAGCTCAGCTATTTCTCTCCTGGGGATTCTAGAGGTAACGCCAAGGGTTTATGGGGGAGGGGGAGGAAAGTTTTATATTACTGTTGTACACAAACCCTTCTCCAATGTGTTCCCCTCAATAGCATTCAAGCAGTAAATACTGCTCCAATATAAATTAACATCACTTAGCTTCTTCAAAGGGATATTTACTAAGAAAGTATTGCAAAGACAGAAATATAAACATATTCCCCCCAAGCTGGGATATGCTGTCTCCTCTATACAGCCACACAGTCCTTGGGTGAATGGGCTCAAACTTAAAAGTATTTGCTACACACATCCCCCATCTCCCCTCCAAAGTTCACTTTGGGAGATTGTGGCATAACTGATAGAAGAGTTGCTCCATTGGTCACAAGACAGCGAGGATCACAGGTTGCTGGGTTAATCCACTGCTGGGCTGGATCAAGTAGATCACTCCTCAACAGATTCCTCTGCTGAGGTTACCAGCAGCCTCTGATATGGACTCCAATTGGCAGACCTCAAGTGGCTTTTCAGCCTTTTGAAGCTTACATAACATGGATTGTTTCATCTCTGATATTCTTTCCCCTAAGAGGAAAAAAAAGAATTTGCACAACAGAGACAGAAACAGATGGCACCATACATTCATGGCCATGACCATGTGGTGGCCAGATGGGGAGAGAGGGCCCATGGCAACAAGTAGGAAGCCACAGTTACTTCTGTTGCATCCAACTCTCCACCCACCTAGAGGTTTACAGCATTTCAACTTCCTCCTCACTCAAAAGTCTATTCAAGCTTTTGGAATGCAAATTCATTTCTAACTCAGCAGCCCATTAAAAGGCTCTTTGTTACTATAAAGTAAGCTGACAGGAACTAGTCTGAGGATACCTGTACATGCTTTGAAGCAGGGCTCCTCCATAACACATTTCTGAAAGGACTCACCGAGCTTCCTTGTGGATTGATACAAGGAAGAACATTTGTGCATTTTATAAGGACTAGACTTTTTGTTGGTCGGAACCTGCAAGACAAACTCTCAGAGAGAAGAGTGATACTGTTGGACATATAAAAAGGGGAGATAATAATGGGGTGAAAAGGTTTTGAGAATCACTTAATTGTGTAACCCAAGGCCCCTACCTTGGCCACTTTTGTAATTATCATTTTCTCATGAGCATGGGGCAATGATGATTCAGAGAGGGAGGTCAGCAAATTGGTTTCTAATGACACTGACACCCAGGCACTCAGTAAGGTGATTGCTCCTTCCCTTCATAAAGGCTCTAAATCAATACCCAGGTGGAGTGGGAAATTCCGCAGTAGGATAGCAGAAGAGGTATAGGATCTGTTATCTGTATGTCCAAGGCTGCTTTCTTAGCTTCCTTGGATTATGACTTCCAAGCCACCATGAAGATGAGTGCCATGTAGTTGTTATTATTGGATTCAGACTGACAGGCTGTTATGGCATAAATGGGAAACACAAACGGGAAGCCCAGGGCTATGGCTACAGAAGCTATTGCTTTTATCAGAGTTGGTAGTCTCAAGTGAACAAAATTATCTGAGACTAGCACAATGTGAGCAGTTCTGATGCTGGAGCAGAAATAGGGACAGAAGACATGAGGAGAGGATCAGTTATTAAACATTGTTAAGCTCTTAAGATGTGGTAGGTATTGTTACAGTGATACAATGAAAGGCAAAAATAGTCTCTACCTTCATGGAGCTTACATTTTAATACAGAGAAGATCTTGAGACTTCCATTTTTATGAAATTGAATGGGCTAGTGAGCTGAAATGGAAAATGGAAGCCTGTCACCACTTTCCCCATTTTCTCTACTTCATAGTTTGTGATCTGGAGGTGAAATATGGATACCCCTTTCCCTTTTCTTTTCAATGAGCTGTAAGTGCAAGTGATTCAGGAATCCCCTACCTACTGCTAAAAACCCAGAAGGGGTGTCAAGAATAGAATTTAACAAAAGGCAGACTCAGATAACTCTCCTAGTGAGATCCCATTTACTAAAAGCACTCTCTTCCAACCATTTAGGAAACGAGTCTTATGGTCTGCCTCCTTTTGTACCAAAATACTCAGAGTAAGGGCTGACAGAGTCTTTTAAACCTAGGTGTGTCTTCCTTCTGATTGGCCTGACAATACATCACTTGGACCTCCTGATTTGTGGACATTTTAATGAGGAGGTGAGCTAAGAGTTCTCAGTTCTTCCCTATTATTTCATTGTTGAATGCTGGGCAGGACTAACCAGCAACTGGGGAAAGCGGGCTGGACTTTAGATGTGGCAATTTACACCCCTATCTAATACTTAAGGAATGCTAGCAGGTTTATGAGACTCAGCCACCTCTAGTTATCTTGGAAAAAACATCAGGAAAGTGATGCCATGACTTGCAAGTGACTTGGATTTAAGTGAGGGAGGGCTGTGCAAAGTCACTCACTATCTCCTCTGAGACATCTGAGTCCAGTGGCAAGATACAGATCTGAAGACTGGTGACGGCCCCCATTACAGGGTAAACAAAATCAAAAGGCCCAGCCCAGGCTGGTAAGCCTTGGAGGCTGGGAGTGATCACCTTACTTGAACATACTCTTCAGAAACTGCCTGCCCTTAAGAAGTGGAGTCTGTCAAAATGAGGAAAAGGATGGATCGTAGGGAAACATTGGTTATAAAATAATACAGCACAATATTAA